TGTCCTAACAATATAATCACTAATTAATTCTCTCCCTCCTTGCTTTATGTTCAGCAATTGATCCAAATGCCCTCTCTCTCTACCTTCAAACTTCTCATAGCATTTTATCAAATTCCGCTTTATTTCTCCGAAATCTGGTATGGGGGTGTGCTCTAACAAACACATAAACGTATTTAACGGATCTCCCTTCAGTTTGGCTTGTAAAACCGCAATTTTAACATCATCTCCCCATTTTGCTAGTCGCGCTATGTTATCCATCGTGCGGAAAAACTGAATTATATTAACATTATCGCTCGGGGAATTTGAGAAGGTAGGGATCATTCCCAAAAACCCTGTAACTACAATGGGAAGGTTCTCAAGTTTAACTTCTCCCTTATGCTCTAAAACTTGCTCGTCCTCCCGGTCCATAACTGACTAAGATAAATGAACAGTTACCTTAAAACTATACAATACTCAATTTCGAAGATCGATCTGAACGAGAGTTCTTTTTACAACGGGCATCCTGTCGCGGACGCCATTGTGAAAGTTAAAGATGTACGAGACAAATCGTTCCAACGAATATCAATTAAACAATAATTTATTACAACAGGGATTAACAGGTAACACAGAGATGCCCGTCAGAGACAAATACACAGATATACAACAGGTCTCTACTCTCGTCCGGAATCTTACAATTTTTAATTATCACGATATAGGTTCTAATCACTAACTTATAATTAACTTACATCTAACTTAATCTAACACTATACTAATAAGAGGAAAAGGAAGGAAGGAAAGAAAAGGTCTACCGGTAGTTAGCACAGGAGGTCCTGATGGTGGTTTCCGATAATTGCGGGGGTTTTCTCGGCCGACTTTGGTATATTAAACATTCCTAGTATGAAATTTGGCACTTAGTTTCCGTAGACTACTATCTCTCATCAATCAAGTCACTAGTCCTCTTCTCTTCTCTTTGGACTACGCTAAACTTCGCACATTGGGCAGGTTCTTTGTCTTAAGCCTGACTTAATGTCCCGACGATATTTTCTTAACCCTTTCTCCTCGTCGTCCAGGCAAAAAGTGTCCTTCTTACCCCTTTGTTCACCTTGTGTACCCCACGGGCAGGGCCGCGCCCTGTTCACGTCGGTAAGCCACCAATCAGGACCCACGAAATTCCCGCTCCTGATCGGGTGACCGGAAATGGTCATTAGTAGAAAGAAGAAGGAAGGAAAAGAACAAAGAATCTTAAATCTAAATACTATAACTATGTATATACAAAATGGCGGACAGCCACACTGGTATAATGTGCGGAGCTATCTAGATTTGTGATGGACCGAGAATTGTAGTCCTTCCGAAAATTTACGTATACGCAAGTCTAAGAATGCTACTTCCGCATCGCTTTCTTTCTCCCAAGTGAAATTGATGGAAGGATATATACTTGCGAGTTGTTGCATAAAGATAAGGAACGACTCCTCTGTGCCTTCCCACACTATGAGGATGTCGTCAACATAACGCAAATACAGCCTCGGGTAACGGATGGCAAGCGGGGAATTGAACGTTCTGTGCTCAATCTCTCTCATAACAAGTTTCACTAGGATAGTGGATAAAGGACCCCTTGTTTTTGTAAATAGATCTTTTGGTTGAAACGGAAATAATTGTGCTCGGTGACGAAGGTGAGGGCATCACGTATATCGAGCACCTGTTGGATGTTAAAGCCCTCTTTTAGAAGCAGCGAATTAGCCAGCATTACAGCCTCAAAGGTGGGCACTGAAGGATATATAGATATTACATCTAGCTTGTAGAAGGTATAGGTGTCTGGCCGTAGTGCCCCAATACTCGAAGCGATGGTGGATTTAGCAGCTACAGAAGAGGGAGTAACATATGGGGATCCCGGAACTATTGCGCAAAGGAATTTGGCAAGCACTTTTTCTAAAAAATCGGTGGGATGAGACCGTTTGTTTACCAGCGGACGTAATGGCCAGTTTGTCTTATGTGTTTTTGGCTGAAAGAACAACCTTGGACATGCAACATTGGAGGGGGGATCGAGCAATCCAGTTAGGGTTGAGGAAACACCTGGTAAGGCGATGATTCTTCTTGCCTTCCTTAATACCATCGGCGTAGGGTCCTCACTCATCTCCAAGGAATGCGACTGCGTTAGAAATTCGTTGGCCCTGGTTAAAAATGGAACAGTCTATGTGCAAAAAAAGGGGGTCCCTATGGGTAGCCCAGTATCTGGGGACCTTTGCGAAATAGTTATTAGACACTTAGAACACAAGATCTTTCCCCGATACCTCCCAAACATCATTTTATATGAGGTATATAGACAATACCATCATTTTATGGAAGACTGTTCCAGATGTGCTGGCATTCATACAAAATGTTAATGACAATCCTTATGGCTTAACCGTAGCGATTGAACAGTCTAATACCATAGATGTCTACTTCCTGGACTTAAACTTTAAAGTTGAAGGGTCAACTATCCACACATCTGTATACTGCAAACCTTGTGCAGCCTCTATGTACATCCCTGTAGGTTCGCGCAACCCATTTCTCTACAAGACAGCAGCATTTAATGCATTAGTTAAGAGGGCATTTTCTCACTCGTCTACCCTACAAGCTCTAGCCACTGAATTAACCCACATTAAGATGATTGCAACCAAGCACGGCTACCCTAATCTGACCCATCGTTTGATTGAGCATTACCACTGCTCAATGCACGCCTCCGCCACCATACAATCACCGACAATGGATCAGATAGTGAAACTTGTGTCCCTGTCACATTTAATCCCTACATTAAATCATTGTACACTGAAATCACAACAAACACCACATGCGGATAATGTACAGGAGATTTCGACGATTTTGACATCCTCCGCAATGGGAAAACTCTCCCAACCATAACAGACTCCCTGGGATTTACTCCATCCTTCTAAAGGACAACAGATGTGACAGGGACCTTATACTAAACGATCCTTGGCAACCAGATTACCCAAACACTGTGCAGACCTTCAGCATGGGCGACACAACATGGCCCTTGCTATTTATGCCTCTGATCCTGATATTGAGACTGCATTTAACCAAGTCAAGGTCATCCTAACTACGTCTCACCCTGAACACATAAGATGGTTGGAGGCCATATCTATTTATAGAGCAAGCCACAACGCCATGTGCATCAACCAAAAAGATGAGCTAAATTTATCGGTTGACTGGCAGGCTCTTATGGATGCCGACCTTTAACAGCCATTATCTACACATAAAATGCACATGCCCTTTGTAACGACTTTCATCAGGCATACGTTCGATTTAATTTGAATATTCACGTTCTAATTTTGTGTTCCATTAGTTATTTGGTATATTTCACCTGAGTTCAACTATTCAACAGTTCAAAAACATTAGTGATAAACTTTATTATTCACAGAACGCACTGGTAACAGGTTCCAGCCAAGGTGTTGAGTTACATCCCCGGTGTTGAAATGATGTTGATGTTGATTAAGATCATCTTATTTTATAATGTCTTAGAGCAAACCACATTCAAAAATAAAGAGTTCGCAATGTACTGTAAACATTGCCAAATTGTAAACATGTATATTTACAATATGTACATACATGTATTCATAAATTTAATTACTTTTTTTCTGTACTATATTAAAAACTAAAATTTATTTGTTTGTAAGCTTAAAATAGATTCTTATTAATCATATATTATTAAAAATGCATTTATAAGTAAAATACAGAACTGGAAATGGTTATTTGTGGTTTAGCCTAGTGACAAGTAAATTCGGAGACAAGTAAGTTGCCTCTCCTGGAACAAATTACCAACGTAAGGTGAGGTATACCTGTAGTTACAAATCAAATGTTAAAATCTTTCAAAACAGATTTCAAATCAGTTTTATTTTTGCCTGTAGTACTTGCTTTTTAAAACAATAATAAAATTATATTCTNTTATTACTAGAGGAATTAGATGTATTTTTACCAGCCAATTTAATTTTAAACCTAATTTTCATTATATACTTTGATAGCTGACATTTTAAGGCTTATTTGTAAAAAATTTTGTTTGATTCTTGTTTTTTTTTCGGTGTCCCATTAAATATGGAAAATCAAAGTGCTGTTCAAACAAGAAAAAAATTGTGGTACATGTATGGAGAAAATGTGCTGAGAGTAAGACAGTGTCAAAACTGGTTTACAAAATTGTGTTCTCGCAATTTCAATATTGAAGATACACCACATTCTGGATGGCCAGTTGAAGCCAGTGAAAACAAAATAAAGGTACAGATTGAAGCAAACTGCCAAATAACAACATTTGAAATCACTACGAGATTAAATTTGTTGAATTGAACCATTTATAATTACTGGAAATGAATAGGTTTTGTTTCAAAGCTCAATATATATATATATATACAAAGATATATGGGTTCCACATGTTCTTAAAGAGAGTTGCTCTCTTTGGTGGGATTTTAAAGACATTTTTTTGAGCTTTTACCAGACTATTTAACAATTGATTTGAAAGTATACTGCCATTGAGTAAGCAAATTGAGTAATATCATCAAACAGAAAAGGCCAGAATTGATGACACAAAAAAGTGTAGTGTTTTACCATGATAATGCCAAATTTCACACAAGTTTGGTAACTTGTCAGAAACTGTTACAGCTTCNTTAAAATAGATTCTTATTAATCATATATTATTAAAAATGCATTTATAAGTAAAATACAGAACTGGAAATGGTTATTTGTGGTTTAGCCTAGTGACAAGTAAATTCGGAGACAAGTAAGTTGCCTCTCCTGGAACAAATTACCAACGTAAGGTGAGGTATACCTGTAGTTACAAATCAAATGTTAAAATCTTTCAAAACAGATTTCAAATCAGTTTTATTTTTGCCTGTAGTACTTGCTTTTTAAAACAATAATAAAATTATATTCTATTAATAAAAAATTATCAAAATAATTATAATATTTTTGCAGAAACAAATAACATGTTTAATAATTAAGATGAAGAAACTATAAATTATAGAAAATTTAATACTTACATGATATTTATTTGTTGAATTAAATGGAATTTCACAAACTTTAGGATTTCTCTGGCGATAACTAACAACATTAGAAACAGCTAACTCCATGCACTTCATTATTGCTGTTTCTGATGCATCACCAGTACATTCTCTTTAAAATTATAAAATCAGAATTTCAATCACAACTACAACAAGTATTTCATCAATAATTTTACATTTTAATGATAATGTACAGTACAATAACACACAGTAATATTACACATATAATAATTATATTAAATTTTTGTTCAAAACTTTTATAGAAAATATATGATTATTTAATTTATGACAGAACAAAATACATGATATCATCCAGAATAAACAATTAAAAGAAGAATTTCCTTATAAAGAGTCTGTTCAAGTTATATTTGAAACAAAAATGGTTGTAAATAAGAAAATAAAATAGGAATCCAAAATAAGAAAACTTCAATAAATAAAATAATGGTGTTCCAAGAATAATTAAAATACTATAAAAAACTACAGTGCAGAAACTCAAAACAGAATATAAATACAAGAAATGCCCTAAACACCTACAGGTTAAAATTTCTGTAAGTTCTATAAGTTAGAATTTCTATAAGTTATAGAAATTTTAATAAATAAAATAAATATAAAATTGTGCCATATACCTTTTTAAAATTGGAACATTTTCTTGTCCAGGTTTAAAATCAGCTCTACTGCATAAACATGCTGCTCTTGATAGAAACTTCCAACCAGGGGAACTTTTATCATACTGAATTCCTAAAAACATTCATAGATATTCTTCCAGTGGAATATATCATATAATTTTCTATGATTTTATCATATACTACAAACATTTAACTTATTATTTTTATAGTTTGTATGTATATATTAAATTATCAAGAAATTATAAAATTTTATAATATAATTTATTTTTTAATGACTTTTATCACAGTATATTGTCAAGCATTCATGCTCTTGGTTAAAATTGCTCTGAATACAATCTAACTTTTGTTACAAAGATATTATTACAATGATTATTCAGAGTACAGTTATAACATTTTACTGAAAATGTAATGCAAGCTACATATGCATTGCTAGATATAGCCTTCACTCTCTGTGTCTTGTACTGCAAGTTTCAACTTGATAGCTCACTCCTGTTAATAGATTTGATAATATTAACATGGCTGCTTTACTATCAGGTGAATGTGAATCAAGCAGTTTACATCAAAGATGAGCAGTAAGCTGTGATAGCATTTCTGTGGGCTAAAGATGTATGGGAGGCTGAAATCCATCAAAGAATTTCAGTACAATATGGGAATAGTGTACTGCNCAACACTAATTTTTTTATCTTTTCTAAGTTATTTTTAAGTTATTGTTACATTATGTTATGTAAGTTAAGTTTTAGTATGATTTCCCTTCTCCCTCTCTTCCACTACCAGTTTATACCTCCACCGTCATCTATCCTCAAAGGTAAAGTGCAAATAAAACTACATTTTTTTTTATCAATTATTATTCTATTATGGTTATTTATACATTTACAACTACAAAATGCATTTTTCAGTGTTTTCCTTACTATAGTTATTATTTCTTTTTTTAATGTACTACTTAGCTTTAATTTGAGTGTTTTTAGTGTTGGAACAAATTATTTGGTTTTACATGTAATTGTATGGGGAAAAATGATTCACCTTATGACATTTTCATGATACGATCTCAGTTTCAGAATGGATTAATTTCCTATCCTTGAGGTAGTACTGTACTTGTTGGTTTTGTTTGATTTGGTTATATTTCATGCAGGCAGAGTTGAGCCTCTATTTATAGCTCATATTTGAAGTGTAGATTTTGTTTTTGGTTGGTACATTTTACTTTTGATATACAGTATATATAGAATAGATATAAATAATATTATATTGAATATCACGTCATATCTCAAGTGGGGGCAGACGTAATAATGATTTTACTCATTATTAGCATTTACAGTTTATCAAATTCATCTCTACTCTCAAAATTAAGATTTTTGCCATTTTATAATAATTAATAATATGAAAAGTTTTTTAAATAAAATATTGTAATAGATGGCACCACAAACAGTTTTAAATGCTGCTGGGAAAGTTAAGTAACTTATTGCTAGATATTTTTGATTGAATTATTGTTTTGGTTCATTTATTTTTTCAAAACATTTTCATTTATATCTTTTATGATTCACACAAACTGACTTCTTAGATGATTTAAATTTATANCTTATTATTTTTATAGTTTGTATGTATATATTAAATTATCAAGAAATTATAAAATTTTATAATATAATTTATTTTTTAATGACTTTTATCACAGTATATTGTCAAGCATTCATGCTCTTGGTTAAAATTGCTCTGAATACAATCTAACTTTTGTTACAAAGATATTATTACAATGATTATTCAGAGTACAGTTATAACATTTTACTGAAAATGTAATGCAAGCTACATATGCATTGCTAGATATAGCCTTCACTCTCTGTGTCTTGTACTGCAAGTTTCAACTTGATAGCTCACTCCTGTTAATAGATTTGATAATATTAACATGGCTGCTTTACTATCAGGTGAATGTGAATCAAGCAGTTTACATCAAAGATGAGCAGTAAGCTGTGATAGCATTTCTGTGGGCTAAAGATGTATGGGAGGCTGAAATCCATCAAAGAATTTCAGTACAATATGGGAATAGTGTACTGCAGCAGAACAGTGACCACAAATGAATCAATAAATTCAAAAATACTCACACAAGTACTCAATATAAAAAAAAAGCTAGATTCCCCACTACATTCACTACCGATGACAGCATTGAACAAATTTGTGGCATGATTCTTTAGAATAGACACATGACTATTGAAATATTAAATCACAATGCATCAGTCATGGTTCTGTGTAAAAACGTTCATAAAGTCTATGCAAGGTGGGACCCTAAACAAATGTCAGAAACATACAAACAGAATCATCTAATCATCTATTGATAGCTTTTAGATCACTTTGCTAATAAAGGTGCAGGCTGGACTGGACATCTGGCAATTGTGACAAATATGAGAACACCCCATGATATTTAATCACAGACAATAACATTTAGTGTAATGAGATCAACATTCTCTTTTTATACCACTCAGGATGACAAGAGGGTGTAAACTGGACACTGAGGCAAAAACTCCATTTATAGTTAAGACCCATTTATTGGAATACGAAAAAGTATATTATAATTACCTATTTTAGGAACTCCTAAAGTATAGCAAAATAGCTGGTCAAGGATGAATGACAATCCACTAAATAGGGTGATGATCTTCTTGATGGGTTGACAGCTTTCTCAGTAATTCCTTCTTCCAACCAAAGAGACCTTGTTGATATTACATTGTAATGAACATTGTTCCTCAAGTACACCTTGAGAACAATGTACCAAAAGAACAGTTACTGTTCAGAGAGGATAGCTATTGGACTTGGTGAAGTCTTAAACTGATGATTTGTCAATTTTGGAAAACTTTTTGACTGCAAATAGAGGAGCCTTAGAAAAACTTTAGGAGAAGACACAGGGAATAAAGAGCTATCCTTGAGCTTTTTAAAGGGTTTGTATCTTCAATTGAGCATCCAGATTGGTCCTAATCTCCTCTCTTCCTCTCTAAATTGGTTCCTTTTTCATTGTTGAGGGCAGTTTGAAATTAAATTTGGGAACATAGTATAGTCAATGTCAATATTTTATTACAATATTGTATTCTGACACTGGCTACAGATGTTTATTATATTTTCATGATTTCCACCCATAACTCAGAGTGAAGCATTTTTAATCCTGTCATAAATATCACCAGCTGCAATCACATGACATTCCGTTTTGGAATTACACATTTCATCTTGTCATTTTTGCAATCATGGAGTTTTTCTCCATGATTGCTCAAATTCCACAAGCGTCAGGATCTCTCTCTCTCTTCTTCCTTTTAATTGCTAATCAAAACAGTTCAAAGCCAACCAACAATAGGAAAAAATGTCATTTTTCTCAGTGTTTTGGAGTCCCATGCACAAACTATGTTATGGTACTCTAAAAAACCAATACTGGAACATTACTAGGAAAAGACCACAATGGTAGACAGTATTCATACAGTGAGCTATTGTGTAATGAACTAAAGCCTACAATTCAAATAAAATACAAAGAGCTGTTCACTAAAGTCATTGCCTTTCCAGAGAACAGTTCTAAAACAACCACTTCACACCTAAGCGATAATTCCAGCAAACAAACAATAAAAAAGTTTAATGTTCAAACATTTTATTGTTTGTTTGCTGGAATTATCGCTTAGGTGTGAAGTGATTGTTTTAGTATATATTTCCAGTTTGTGTGTCAGTTTTTTATGTCTGAGAACAGTTCTCTTTTATTGCTATAAAATAAAATATTCTGATAAAAATTTGAAATTTATTTAATTAAACTAATAGTTCTTCATCTGTTAGCAATAGTCAAGATTGTAAAATATTACATTAAGATATAACAAATATCATTATCATCAAAACTTAAAATCCTCTAAAGCAACAGTTCTCAACCTGTATTGACTTACATACCACTTGGCAGCCCTTTTCCTAAATTGTATCCCTTACACCCTTACATTAGAAAAACGTTTATACTTTATATAGTTGTATTTTAAACTTGTTTTAATTGTAAATCAATAGCAGTGAAATGGCAAGGAGAGTGCACAGGGCTGCTGAATTGATAAAGATTAAAAGATTATCTGTATAGGTACAAATGTTTAGTGCTCAGTGTTTCATCTACTTTTCTACTTACTATACCATTGTTCTTCGAAATTGGTTAATAAAAAAAGAAACCAATAATAAATTGTATATACATATTTAAAACTTGGAAGATCAATTTATTGAATTCAAGTTATCATAATTATTAAATATTATTAATTTCATTTTCATTTTAAGTTAAATTATTCCAATCAGTGCTTGTTTTGAGTTACACAGATTTTGAAGTCAGGTTTGACTGATTAAGGTATAATCTTAAATCCAGAGCAGCATTCAACTTATTACGGTATTTGTTTTTAATACAGATATATGAAGAGAAAGCTCTCTCTACCAGCTTCATGCTTGTAAATGACAACAGAAAGTTAGTGCCTTGTCAGTAAGCTGTTCATATTCTCTGCTGATATCTGACCAAAAGTTAATAAAACATTTCCCTTTAAATTTGGCTTTTAAAGTAATGTCATTTGAAAGTTAAATCAAGTTCTCTTTTTTCTGGACTGAAAATTTAGCTATCCAAAAGTATTCTTCTTCAAAAAGATTTGAAATCCAATAGTTTCCTTTTTCAGGTTTGTGGAAGTACTTCTCAAAAGCTGATTTTAGCCTTTTAAAGTGTTCAGTTATTTTTTCACTTATTTCCTGGGAGAGGTGAGAAGTTTGTACTCAGATAGGAAATTGTGCAACGTTTCAAATACCTCAGGTTGGCCATTTTCAATACATAACCTCCAAAAATCAAATTTTTTTAATCATAGATTTAATTTTGTCTGAAACATCGAAGATCTTTATGGAGTTATTCTAAGTGCCAAATTTAATTATTTATATGTAGAAAAACATCTCATAAATATGCAAGTGCCTGAAGCCAATTACAATAATGTAACTTGGAAACAAGTTGAAAAGGGTGTCTTCAAAGAAAACCTGGACTTCATGTCTAAATTCAAATAACTGGGTAAAATGGCAAGATTTGTTCCCAGGTAACCAGGAACAACCATGCCATGAGATAGCCACCTTACTTCTGTATGGAAGAGCAGAGTAAAATGTAGACTATTCATCTTATCACACAAAGCTTTGACAATTCTCAAGTTAGTTGGTCTTGACTTTATAAAATTAACCACTTTCACAGCTTTATCAAGAACAAGTTTTAGTTCCACTGGAAGGTACTTAGATGCCAGATTTTGCTTGTGGATCCAACTTGCATTTGGAGCCATCTTCATAACATAACCACACAGACTGGAATAAAAACCTGACAGAGACTTGCCATCATCAATACATATTCCACAACAATTAGACCAATGCCCTATTATTGAAATAACAATCAATAGCATTAAATATATCCTCACCTGTTGTGTGTTCTGATAAAGCATGACAAAGCAAAAGGTTTTCTTCAACTTCATTGTCTTTTAAATAGCTTAAGATAGCAAGTAAAATAGAAAAATTAGCAACATCGTGTTTTCATCAACTTGAATGGAGGAAATCTCACTATTTTTAATTCTGAAAATTACTGCTGCCTCAGCATC